TGTTTACAAATGATCACACAATTAGAAAAACCAATTTAAAATTTGAAGTATCGCAGTTAAGTGGACTAAACGACATTAACCCACTTGGAAAAACTTGATTAACCCAAATACTACAAGAAAGTTGGAGAAAAATTTCAAATCCTTCTTTAAATAGCAGGGAAAGTATAATATTTTTGGTCTTTGAATGGAATCTTGCTCATATTATATCCAAGTAATTTAAATGGCTAACATATGGGACCGTCTGTTATTTAGCATGGCACTTCATGACGACAAGCCAGATTATACGTCAATTTTTCTAATCGAGTGATAAATGATGAAATTATTATGAACTTCTATGACTGAGAGTAGGAAAAATAATTCGAGATCAATTTGAAATTTCTTACAAACATCGGCCACGGTTAGTGACATTAACTCGAAAAAAGAATATTTAAATATATAAAATATGTCAAAATTAGAGTAAGGAAATATGATTTCTTTCGTTAATCGGAACCCTTATTTATTAATAATTTTATATTGCATCTTTTTCAAAAGTTACACATTATACGTGAAAAATTGCAACCTTTTGAATTGTTGTAGTTCAGTTAAAGTGTTCCAACTTTTTTCTGAATAACTACAATTATCAATTTGAAATCAAATTTTGAAAATTCAGCTAGTTCAAAACTGTCACTTTATTTGTATTTGATCATATACATTTCAGTTTATGTATACTATAAAAAAATAAAATAAACACACACACACACATTGCACATGAATATGTCACATTCAATGTCAAGAGCGTCATAAAAGCGCCAATATATACGAGTTGAGAAAAGGATATTTAGCTAAATATAGAAGCTATTTTTTTTTTTTTTACGTAATTAAGAGAGAACTATGTTATCCAATATGTCTCTCGATAAAAGTAAATTTTACTTATAAAAAATAATTAAATTCTAAATAAATATTATTTTTATTAATAAAAAATAGGTAAGTTTTTTTTTTTAACAATAGGAGTTACTTTATTTTTAAATATTTGTACATTTATCTATTATGGTATCACCAAACACATTTAAGTAAATTTATTATTGACTTATTTAGAGCGTGGACTTGATAATAAAATTCATAATTAAGAAAAAAGAACTTTTGATTAATTATAGTTTAATCCTGTGTATTTATTATTCGTTAAGTAAAATTCAATGATTGAGAGTGAAGTTGGAAGAAAAGAATGAAAAATTGACCAAAATGATGATTTTTAAAGTTTAGGATCAAAATGTAAATATACAATAGTTGATTCCGGGGAAAAAAAAAGATTGAAAAAAAAGAAGAAGAAGCTTACACGAGATGAGATGGATGCGAATAGAAGACTAAGGTTTGAAATTATACGAAAAATGACTAAATCAACCCCAAAAGAGGTTCAAGGATTGCGCACGCAACCCCAAAATCTGCAGAACTTGAGGTTGAAAGATTTGAACCATGCATGGGCAACCAAGGGACACGTGCTTGCATATTGGCCATTTTTCAAACGGGCACTTTCACTTTATACTGAGAGTGTATTTGAGTTACATTATTTTGACAGAATGTATTTTGAAATAATAGATTGATGAAGAATGTGTGATTGAAAAAGAAGGAAAAATTATTGATTTGATAAAAAATATTATTTTATTGAAAAATGTGTGGTTGAAAATGAATAGAAGAATGAAAATCTTAATGTGATTCAAACGGGGCTGAAACTTCTTTTGAAAACAAGTTTTGACACGATTTTGAACTAATTTCCAACCACTATATATGCAGAACAAGGGCTAAATTCAAGTGATCTATCTCTAGCCTCTTAATTTAATTCATATCATAAAATCATTTTAAGTCACCGTCTTTTGGGAGAGAAGATCAAACCTAGCAAGGAATTCAAGGCAAGAAACATCGAGAACTTAAAGAATTAAAGCTTTAGATTGAAGATCAAGAACAAGAAATAGATTCCACATCTCCTTGTATTTATAAATTAACGATGATGATTTTTCATTTTTCTTGTTTTATTTTTAAAATCATGCTATGCTAGATTTCCTTTGTGTTGGCCCCTGTTGGGAAGAAAATGAACCTTATTATTACTTATTTCTCATTGAAAGATTAAGTAGTTTAGTTTATTTGTAATCTTGATTGATATTGTATCTGTTGTTGCATATTTAATACACACCATTTACATAATTAGTTGCTAATTGTAGTGATTGGAGGTTCATAATAAGTTTAAAACTATGCAATTTCAACACACTGGCATAATAGAAGTTAGGTATATGGCGTGTGCAATCACCTAGATAATTGTGTAATTGAATGCATTACTTTGCATATAAATTCGAAATATGAATATGATCGAATCATGTTTAGAATAAGTTTTAAGTCGCCTCGAAAGAGATACTTAATAAAATTAAATTATCAATTGGCAAGTTACACAATTCATACTAAATTATATAAGTCGAGAATTGAAAATAGGATAATAATAATAATAATAAGTGGGTTTTGAATTCCACACATTCATTCATATATTTAAGTAAAAATACTTTTAGACAATTAGTAGATTAACTTATAAAGAATTTTAAAAAAATCTTTTTTTGTGCCACGTATTCGAATTTGATAATGAAGTAATACAATTCAATTTAAAAGTTGTTCTCCATGAGACGATGCTCTACTCACTATATTATTAGTTGTCAATGATTTCATGCACTTACGGATTTCACATAAACAGTGATGTCTACAGGGGCGGAGGGAGGGGTGGGCTGGGGTGGGCTATAGCCCAGCCCTACC